AAAAAAAAAAAAAAAAAAAAAAAAAAAATTGAAGCCAAATTATATATTGCAAACGCGCAAAAATAAATGACAAAAACGCAAAACGGCAAACGGCAAAATAATGACAAACCCAAAAGTGAAAATTTTCGTTTCAAATTAATTTCGTTCCAATTTCGTTCACGCTTCATTCATCTTCGCATAAAATTGCATTAAAACTGCAAAAAAAAAAAAAACTGCCATAAAACAAAAAATCCCATTTTGTATATTATCCATTCACCTCCAATTTAAAGCAAAACGTTTATCGAAAAAGTTTATAGATACATTTATATGGGAGAAAAATTCAATTTGAAAAAATAACTTTTTTTTTTTAAATCGAAAAAAAACCCTTCCAGTTTGCAGAAAAAAATTTCAGCATCCCTGTTTTTTTTTTTTTTTTTACAATCATATAACAAAAATTAGCGAATAAAAAAGTAGCCAGTATAAAATAAAATCAATACCATTGAAATATAACTATATCGCGTTTAACCCTTTTACTTTTCCAGATCCTACTCTTTTTGCGTTATGTTTACATTAAGTATATAATCATCAATAGACCCATCGTACCAAATACCAACGAAACAAACCGTTTTTTTTGTTTTTTTTTTTTCTTTTTGCCTCACAATTGTATTACATTTAAGGACATATAGTCCCATTTGTGCGCGCCATCAAGCCGTTAGCTATAAATTTATGCCAGTTTTTATATATTTTTATGCTTTCCCTTTTTAAAATATAAAGGAAGTACCTTTATTTTGTACACTTTATATATACGTACGAGTAAATAAAACAGAGCCGCATTCGTGAGTTTTGTTTTTTTTACATTGTTACATTTGACCCTTAAAAAAAAACCCCACCTTTTGTTAAATTCGTATTTAAAGCTTGATGAACCTCGCTATACAGAATCTTGGTATTAATGACCCCTTCACAAATGAAAACATTGTTGATGAGGGGAATGGTAAACCTAGCACGACGAATTTAATACGTAAGTTTGAGCGATTCGCTATCAGGTGCAGCGAGGAATTGTTATGCACGTGTAAATATACGCATGTTCAGATTAACGCCCCTACACCCTCGTTCTTTCATACCCTATGCGTGCTAATCCTTTTTCATATTTTTACCCCACGCAGATATCAGAAACCAACAAAGAAATGGTAGAAAGAGCGTTACGACAGTGCAAGGATTAGGAAAAACGTATGATTTGAAAAAAATTGTCCGAGCCTTAAAAAAGGTAAGTGCACAGTGCAACGAGTAAAAAAAGGCAAAAAAAAAAAAAAAAAAAAAAAAAGGATGAAAAAGGAAGAAAGATAGGCGTGTGCCCGTGGTGCACGACTTAAGTTGAAGCGTTGTTCATATGCGTGCCCAACGCATGAGCCCCCTGATTGAGGACTCGCCGAATAAGCGATCTGCGGGTGTACTCAGTCGCCTCTTCGTTTTTTTCCCCCCCCGACCCCGATCCCCGTTTGCAGGAATTCAACTGTAATGGAACAATCATAGAGGATAGCGAACATGGTTCAATTATTCAACTGCAGGGAGACAAGAGAAATAACGTTAAAGACTTTTTAATACGAGAAGGAATTTGTGCAGGGGACCATATACGTATACATGGAGCTTAAAGTTCTGCGACCCGTGCGTTTTTATTCTATACATATTTTTATGAAGCCACTATATACATAATTTATATATACACACATGTGAAAAAAAAAAAAAAAATGCAAAATTGAAAAATAAAAAAAAAAAATAGCAAAATTGAAAAAAAAAAAAAAAATGAAAATAATAACGAAAGGATAGGTTTGGCTACTTGTCACGCTTAGCACAACGGGCACACTGAAGAG